CCAAAGAGCATTGTAGCTGCACTTTCTGAATCAAAATTCCACAAAAATAGTACAACACAATCAAGAAAAATTATTAATGTACTGATTGAACAGTTCACTAAATTAGCTAATGGGGAATATCCATTAGGAATCAAGAAAATTGAGAGGAGTGACATGAATCAACCTGATACCAACATAAGGAAAGCAGCAAATAGGCTTATAAAATTTGAGCAAAAACTGTTGGGGAAGAATAAAAAACGAAAACATGATAAAGAGAATGATGATGAAATCCAAGAAAAACAGAGGAAAATTGATGACAAATCCAAAAATAAAAAAAAGATGAAAGAGTTGAACATCAATGAAGCTGTTGAGAAAACTAATAATTTGAGGAAAACTACAACCAGCAAAAAATTGTCTAAAGAAAAAAACACCATCAAAGCTACAAAAAAATCTAAAAACCATTCAACCAAAGGTGTAAAACAATCAGTAAAGATCAAGAATCAAAATGGACACCTGCCTGATAATATAGAATGTGTTTTTGAGAGAAATTCTGGGACTTGGGTGGTGTTTGAAGTTGACAAGGAAATTAATAAAAATCAGGCAATTTCAGCACTTTTAGTTATGCCTGATAAGTCATCACAGGTAGAACCACCAAGTAATTCAGGAAATTCCAACAGTTCTGATTTCAACCCAGAAGTAATTCAAGCTATAGGTTCCCCAAAAAAAAATGAAGATACTAATAATTTCAATCTGTCAGAGAGCTCCAAGAATTCACTCAAGAGTAAATCTACTAGGAAAAGTATAAAACCATTTCCTAAATCAAGTTGGGATGAACCACTCAAAGAGGGTGAATATGAAGTATTTATACATGCCAAAAAACATTTGAAAAAACTGAATAAATCAGCCTCCCAACAGAATAAACACAGTAACACTTCTCTGAAATCCATAAAGGGAAAGTCTAGGTTGAGCCTGGAATCTGGTTTAGTTAAGAATCCTTTTTCTATGACAAGTACTCCAAGCAGTTCCACAAAGAAGGTTAAGATCAATATGCAACTGAATAAGTCACAAGAGATACATGAACATGAAGCACAAATTTTGAGTTCTCCTGGCATTCCCTATGATGCCAGTAGGAAACCTTCCAAGCCATTATTGAAAGCAAGTATGACACCATCCCCATTGAATCCATTTTACAAGAAACAATTGTTTTAACAACTGTAGTGGACAGGAAATGTTATGTTAATTGTTTTAGTTTTACTCATGACTGTGTATTTCCTATGTCATGTGTCTGTTATTTTTGTGGTTTGTAGGACCTGATTTTTGTAAGCAATCTTATCAATTAATGATTAATAGTTTTGGTATATTATTTTTATGACTTCTGGCTTTCCAGATTTGTTTTCATATTTCCAAACATGAATAATAATTATGTTTCTTATACTATGAAATAACATCCATGATGTATGTTTTGTGCAGATAGGTACAACTGATGATTGTTTCACAAATGTAATAGTTTGGGTTGAAGAAGAATTGAAAATTAGATTCTAATAATCATTATGTATAGTTATTTACTCTCCTAGTGGGGTATGTGAGTTAGCACCAAATTATGACTCACTCTTGAGGAAAAAACTTCTGTGATAATTTCTCAAAATATGGTTAACTCTGCCCCAAAATATGAAGAATCCTTCTTACAGATTAACAAATTATAAACAGTGAGGTTTATTCATAAAATAATCCTCTATTTTTCTCCTATGTTATGTATTGATACTTGCTGATAATATTTCTTCATTTTTTGCAAAATCACGTGACCTCAGTTATAATCAGGGTGTTTCCGAAATTGGGGTGATAAATGAAATGGTTGAAATAAGTACTGTCACATTTCATTACAGGAACACCCCACAAATGATATGAATCTTACTATTAGATATATTCACATGATAATCTCCAATTCCCGAGCCAATTCCGGTAACAGAAATGGTGCCAACTTTAGTTTTTTTAATTATACCCTGTATTCGTTATTCCAGATTTTTTAAGCTTTTCTCCTTGCTTCTATAAAATAAAAATATGAGTTTTACTATATTTTAAACATTTCTCTAACAAAAAGCCTAAAAGAAAAATATTTTCCATTTTTATGTTGAAGACGGCTGCAGATTCGTCCCCGAAACGTCCAAATCTCAATGAAAATTTGGTATGTTTTCTATATACCAATATTTCTCTTCTCCAAATCTTTTTTCAATAAAAAGTGTCACTGACAAGCAAATGAATGTTTATTTTAGGCTCTCTGAGAAACATGTTTTGTATAAACTTCACAACTTAGCCAACCATGAGATGTATAAGTGATGTATACGCCACATCACTTTGTGACATGCGATATCGCATTTGAAGTCACAAACATGTTACCGATACAACGTGGCGATGTGAAAATGTCCGACTCGAGCAACATCACTGTGACGTCGTTCAGACATGAAATGCGACATCACATGAAAAATCACTACCAGGTCACACACAAGTGTACATTTCATATTACAAATACATCACACTGCGACATCGATGATGTGGTCGCCGTACCTGTGATATTCGTGGGATATATAATAATAATATTTATTCAACTTTACGAAGAAAATGTTTATTTTCCGAAAGTAAAAACAGATGATACAAAACTTATCATGACATCACCCTAATTAGCAATCTTGAAGTAAAACATGACACATATATATAGCAATACAAATATACATTATTCATAAATGATACATATCAAATACACTTACATGTGAATTATTTAGTAAATGTCGAAGAGATGTAGTTTGAACAAGTCGCTGCCACATGACATAGTTTCCTGGTTGCGATGTCACTTTGCGACGTTGATATCGAATCTACGTCGAAAAGGTGTGTTAACGAGATATTGCATTTATGCAAGGTTGTTATACATCACACAGATGTTGATGTCACACGATGGTTGGCTGGGAAACGATAAGATTTCCACAACATTTTTAAACAGACGACATGTTTCGCTAACACAGTAGCTTCGTCAGGTGATATACTGGTACAATGAACTAAACTAACGTTGGTTTGCTTCAAACCTCCGTTTTCGGAAATCAAGCACAATATCTACATTAATTAATTTAATGTAGATACTGTGCCGAATTTCCGAAAATGGAGGTTTATCGTACCTGTCCACAGATAACTAATCCTTCAGGTTGGGAAAGTAAGATATATAAAAGTTAAGCAAGCCAACGTTAGTTTAGTTCATTGTACCAGTATATCACCTGACGAAGCTACTGTGTTAGCGAAACATGTCGTGTGTTTAAAAATTTTGTGGAAATCTTATCGTTTGTGAAGTTTTTACATTTGTCATGGATTTCCATCAAGTAACGACCGAGTCAATTCAAAAGAAAAAAAAAAGAAAAATGTTTTAAATGAACCGTTAATGCAGTGACATTTTGGGTCGAACCATCTGGTTTGTGTTTGTCCTCAGTACATATGAATATTGAAATAATACTCATATTCCTATTTTATAGGAAGGAGAGAAAATCCCAAAAAATCTAATAATGAATATACTGCACCCACCTCCTTGATTAACCTACAGACAAGATTTTACACCTTGTATATTTTTTGATAATATTCCTTATACATCCTTGTCTAGGAAATTTTCAATCGACCCATAAGCTAATTCAAATTATTCTATGCTTCAAATATTGAATATTTCTGGAAACAAAGTTTGATAATTCTTCCCCTACAGAAATTCAAGGTGTCCCAGAACAACGTACCATAAATTCTACAGGATGAACTAGAGACCAAAATAGGTTGATAAAAATCAACTTCTATACGAAAATGCGCCGTTGAGGGCGAGGGCGATGAAGAACAATTTGATTTCCATATATTTCAAAATCCTTGAAAGGTTCTGCTCTGAAATTCGTGGGCCAATTTAATATAGTGAATGTGCATGGATAACATGCCATACCAATTCAATCAATATACAGGGAGTTAGGTATTTCACATTCAAAAGTAATGTAACTTTTTTTGGAGTATGGCACTGACCACATTTTGATATCTAGATGAATGACAAAATGATTTATCTCATTTTTTTGTAACTGCGGCGTTTTTATAATTTTTCTTGGATTACGGGATATCTAATATAATTAATTTTGGTGCTCCTTTATACTTTTGTTTATGATTATAACGATTATCATGTTTTGCAAGTTTTTACCTCATTTCTGTTGAGTTATTGACCACAATAATCATGTTTTTCCACCACTAGCTATATAACTTACCATTATTTACTCCTTTCGAAGGCGTAAAGTTTGTTTTTACTACCAAAAGATAGTTTTCGTCATTTTATAAACCCTCGGGATATAATTTTGGTCCCTGGACGATATTGGTATTTTATATTACCTTGGTGTATAATTAATTACCCATTATGAACTACTATATCATAATGTCAATGTTGTTAGCCATCTTCAAATCTATATATTTTTTCTTCAATAAAGTTATTTTACCAGAAATCCTGAACTGATGTTTGAAAATGACCAGCTCCCAAATCATAATATGATGAAGAGCTCATAAACTAGTATCGATAGAAGCACCAAAATTATGAAGATTCTGTCATATTTTGAAATATCCAAATATTCCAAATGTAGTCAGTGCCGTAATCCAAAAAAGTTACATCAATATTTTTATCAAAGAGAATGCGAAATACGGTACGATATGTTTTCCATGCAGATTCACTTTATCAAAATGCCCTATGAGTGTCAGAGCAGTAGGCCTTTCAAGGTTTTCGAAATATTGAAGGGAATCTCTGGAAATAACATTGTTCTTCATCGTCCACTACTGAATATGGTACATTTTCGTATAGAGGTAAGTTGATTTTGATCGGCCTATTTTGATCTCTAGTTCACCCTGTAGAATTTATGGTACGTTTTGTTCTGGGACAACTATTATATTGTAGAAAAAAAGAAGGAAAAATCCAAGTGATAGGATTCAAAGCGGTTGTATACTCGTACATTCTAAATAAATGATGGTCAATTTTACTAGTCATACTTATTTAATCAACATCATCACAGTCTTTCAAAATCTCATAATTATAACACCATTGAGCTAACAATATAATTTATAATATCTATATGCACCAGCGGCAAACGGTTCTTCCTCAAACTATTTTAAGAATATGTTGTCTTTTCATGATTTTCGGAAATCCGTTCAGGAGATACAGGGCGAACAACATTTTATACAAAACCAACATTTAATTACGAAAATATACATGTAAATGTTACTTAATCTAAAAGAGCTGTCGAAAATGATAATAATAATAAAGTACCTCCACGTTTGATCATTTCTTTTCGATGTCTGAAAATGCCTAGCTGTTTCATGGAAATAAAATAGCCTGTTTTAGTAATTGGAATTACATATATGTTGTTAAAAAGATATATACATTTTTTTTGAAAACATTTAGGTACTTGGAAAACACAATAATGCACTATTAGACTATTAACAATTTTAAAAACGTCAAAAATTGACAAACATATATAGAGTTTTCAAAAATCATCAAAGGAGAAACTATCCTTGAAAAATACTATTTTAGGAATATTCCAATAAGGAACAACCCCTTGATTTTTCGGCGCATGCATGTTTAAGAAACACCATGTATAATTTTACCTACTATCATAGAAAGTAGGTTATGTGAAACATTATCACAACATTACGGCGGTAAAGAGGTACCTATATAGTTTATCGCACTAATTCGGTAAACTATAGATATCAGTGTCGTGTCATAAGGATTCATTCGGGTTCGAACAATTACTGTTCTAGAACTGTCAGGAGTTTGCGCAGTAAAATCGGTAGCGTTCGGGTTTTGTGGAACTTTTAAGACTGACCCTTTACGCGTTCGAGTTTTTTCAAAACCATCCTGGAACCTGGAACGGTCCTAGAACTATCCGAAACCAGTATACCTGCTCTCGAGCGTGGACCATTTTAGGATTAGTTTTGGCGACTATCGGAGGTACGTAAATATCAATATACTTCCTGCCTCTCCTGCGGTGAGAATGTGAGATGGTAGCTATTAGGTAATTCTCTAGGTGGCAGATACGTAGTTACGGCGCCAACGCGAAAGAAAAATCAGCATAGACAGAGAGGCGGGCGATAGGTACATGAAATATTGCCTAATTGTTTGCTAGAAGTTGCAAGGTAATTTCATTTTTCAGTAACTTAATTAGTCGAATTTTCAATTTTGTTATTTCGTTTTTTTTTTGTTCCTATATTTCAATGTTTGCACCTGTTGATTTGTGATATATTATTTGATTTAGTTTTGAATATGTTTTTTCTTTATTTTGTTATTGTTACCAAATGATGCACAGATTAAACCAACGTCAGTTACCTATTGCTTTTCTCTTTCCTAAATATTTGATATTGGACCTAGATGAATCTTGGTCACGCCACTGCATCCGATGTATAGGTATTTATTCAACCTCTTAGTTCCATGATGACAGCCATATTCTCACCAGTTCCTAGTGCACGATATTCCAGATCCCAAAGATCAGTAACCAGCAGCATTTCTCTGCCATTCAGCTCGATACTCAAGAAAGGGCAAATACTCTGGCAGTTTTTTCTAGGAATCAAACGGATATGAGTTGACCCAAACAACTGACCAAAAACGGCAAAGTTCTCGACCAAATCGATAGATTTATGAGCTGTCATGTTATAATGCTTGTTCCAAAGTAACCAATTGTACATGGTTGGTGAAAATGAAGGTGGAATATTATCTGGTCTGTAACAATGTCTTCTGAGGACTCTCATAGCTTCCAAATCGCAGTTTTGGAAAGTAAGAAAAAACTTGTCGAAATAATGCGTTCGGTCCAAAATTTCTCCGGCTGAACCAACACGTTTAAAAATATTCGTAGATAATTTGCATGGGTATGATGAAAAAAAGTCTTCTTCTGATTTCAGTGCATCTATGAATCCTGAATTCTTCGGCCAAGTTTCCAAACCTGAAGTTAGGATCACCGGAATATCCAGGTTGATATATCGCTCTTCCAGGATGTCTTCATCTAAAGTTCTATAGACATCAATGGTGTCGATGTTTTCGCATACGTCGCAGTTGAAAAGTATACTTTCAGTATGGTTTTTTCTCCATGGTGAATCAATCAAGCACTCCTTATTCTTCAGATGTTTCCAGTCATAGTATGGCAGTAGTTTTATCAAGAAGATCCGTCCAATAGATGATAATTGCCATGATATGCTATCGAAGTATTTTACTATGTAAATAAAAACCACTACGGAAATTATGGTTAGGATTACGTAGTCAAACGTGTTGAAAAATTTGGTTTTCTTTGTAGATTCGCTAATGGAATTTTGTTTTTCGCATTCTGAAACCTGAAGCTTCTTGGGGCATGGCTTTGTTGGCGATATTCTTGACATCTGAAATAAATAGAATATCCTCATCTGATATTCAGAAACTACTATTAAGAATATTTGTACAGTGTACAAGATATACGATGGTTGGTATATATATTAGCAAGTTTGTTTCTGATTTTTTCTACATAGTTTTGAAATCCTGGATAATTATTTACTTCGACAGGACGAAACATCTTGTCGGCAACAGATGAATATGATAATATATGCGATGTGAAAAATATTGCAATATATTTTTGCAACTTTTACGAGGCCTAGCTATTAATAAGAACCCATATAGCACTCGACGTTCTGAGGACGTTCAGTTTAGGCCCGATTTAGGTCTGAACGTCCGGGACCTTTTCAAGACGTAGGTACTGAAAACGTCCATTTCTGGACGTACTGGGTACGTACGATGACGATGTACTGGGTACGTCCAACTCTGGACTATATCGACTTTGAAGGGACGAGGTTGAATAAAACTGTATATATCATGATAATTGAAATCATTGCATATAATATATTCTACCCTGTTATCTATTTATTTAGGAACCTTGCAAATATGAACATAATACATTTCTCACAATTCTTTTTTACTGGCCGTACCTGATCACAAAACATCTATTTAGGTATTCTCTGCCATGATCATCTAATTCTATGCAAGTATCGATGTGAATAAGGATCAATCAACATTCGCACATAATGTCTTGTTGTATATACTGACATATAATCAAGTCTTCTGTAGATTAGTAGGTAGAGCATCTGGAAGGTCGTGGGATCGACCCCCGGTAGGAGCACTTTTTTTTATTTTTTTCTAGTCAAAATAATATTTTTTTTACCCTATCTAGGTCTCTATTTTAACTATCTGAGTAAAAAAAGGTGGATCTACGTTGATTCAGGTATTAATGGTCCCGTTCAGACCTGAACAGGACCTTCATCGTACGTCCTGGGGACCTCTGATGGTTGTGTAACATCGCATATGTTCCCAAGACGTCCTGAAAACGTAAGCCGTACCTGAAATGGACGTTCTGGGGACGCTTCCAATGTCCGAGGTGTACGGCTTGGGAACGTTTTCGGGACGGTTCTGTGCTTTCTAGGAACCCTACTAAAAAACTGGAACTCATCTAAATATAGAGGGCTATAAATCTCGTAATGATCGTATGAGTGTTATGTACAAGGGCAGAAAATGAGCTTTAGCAGCCCGCGGCTATTAGCTGCACGAGCGAGGCGTAGTGTAGCTAAGAATTTCCCTGATCCTGATCGGTGGATAGGATGGTCCCGTTCCTTGGCCTGCACGTTCTCCCGATATAACTCCACTGGATTTTTTCGTTTTGAGGTACCTCAAATCCATAGTCTATATGCTCCTGTTGAATCTGTAGAAGATTTAACTGCTAGAATTTAAGCAGCAGGCATGATACTCCAGAATACACACCAGGCATCTTCCAAATGTGCGACAGTCGATGATCAGAAGATGTCAATTATGTATTGAACAAAATGGAGATCCATTTAAACATTTGCTTCGTATTCAATTTTTGTATTTCCTCAGCGCATAAATATTCTATGCGCCAAATAATCTATTAAAATAATTGAAATTAGTTACTGTTTGACATATATTGAAAACGTTGCCATGGTTCTGGCAAATTTGAAAGATGGCTCACGACTATCAACCTCGAGTTTGTCGATTTACATATTTCTTTAAATTTTTTCGACGTTCAAAAATATTCCGGAGTTTGAGAAGTTATATGGATATCTCGTATAATATCATATAGCATCATGCGATTATGGTACGCAGCAAATTAGGCCTCTTCATCATATCATAATTTGTTACGTAAGAGGGGTGAACACTCTTCATTGAGCCTTTGTGACCTTAGCAAGGCCTTCGACTGTGTTTCGCACAACCTGCTAATGAAAAAACTTGAATTTTATGGAATAAGAGGTGTAGCACTGAAATTGTTCAAATCATATATCGAAAATCGAAAACAGCGGTTTATCTAGATAACTCCATTTCGGAATTTCAGGAAGTCCTTCATGGAGTCCCACAGGGCTCCGTCCTAGGACCACTCTTATTTATAATTTATATGAACGATATTTTTCATTTTGTGTCACCTGGACTATATGCATATGTTTCGCTGATGACACAACATTGATTCAGTCTCACAATAATCTTAACACTCTAAACGAACTCTCGACTGCAGCCGAAAAAAGGGCTGTTTTCCTCTAATAATTTGAACCTCAACAGAGACAAAATCAGAAAATGATCGTGACTTCAAACAGAAGCATCAACACTGAAAACAGTGTCAAACTACTAGGAGTTACTATTGACGATGGATTGACTTGGTTACGACACATTGAGATGTTGAGCAAGAAGTTATCATCCCAACCTACTTAGGCAACTGAAAAAATACCTAGATTTGAATTCTCTACTGTCAGCCTATCATGCCTTATTTCAATCACATATTAACTATGCTATTATTCTATGGGGGATCTCAAAACACTCCATCCGAGTTTTTCGTCTGCAAAAGCGCGCCATACGACTTTATCACGAACTCACCTTATAATACCCCATTTCGAGAACTTTTCATAAAACATATTTTCATATACATATTTCAATCTCTCATGGAGATACACAAAAACTTCGATAAATTTAGCGTGCATTCCGATTTCCATGATTATGCAACGAGGGATTATTCTGACAAGTTGAGACCACAAAGATATCGACTAGAAGTATATCCGAACGTAATTCTTTGAATTTGAACTTGTTCAACAAATTACCTAAAGGTGTGCGCAACCTTGACCTCGAATATTTCGAAAAAGTAATCATCAAGGACCACTTTCTACGGTTATGTTATTACTCTGTTGAAGAATACTTATCTTCACCAGATTCATCATTCTCTCTATGAAACCATCAACTGAAAAAAAAAACATCGTTCATACAGCTCATATACTTGCTTTGCAATTTACAATTCCAATTTTGTTTTTCTCTCCTTTTGTGAATTGAAGAAGAGAAATAAGTCCTCACGAATTGTTGTTTATTTATATGTGGTACATGTCACTGTTAAGTCTGTTTTATTGCCAGAAATGTACGTGTATGATGTATGACTTTATTCTGCATATTTTCAATGTATTTTTTCTTATCTACTACATTTAATATGTCCTTTGTACCACCTGACATGTCTCAAGTTTTTCTCAAATATCTCCGGAACTTCTACATTTAGGCATGCAGAATGTTATTACTTTTAGGTCGAGTATCGATAATCCTAACTGATGTCATTTACTAATTTAATAATTCGATCATCAGCCTGAGAAAAATTTTGAAGGAAAATGTGGTGACATATATATCCCATACAACACGGGATATCCTATGGACGTCCAAATCATGTCCAATTCATGTCGGGATATCCTTGGACCTTTTTGGATATCCATAGGATATCCAACATTCACCCGCGCGGATATAATCAATGTAATAAATTGTGAATATGAATTAAATTGATGAAAATTCAAATCTATGTGTGTACATAGTTATATTACTAGGAAATATATAATATATCGAATATGGAATTTTTCAACGTCTTCTTGGATATCCAATGGATATCCATGGGATATCCTGTATTGGAGCATTGAACCACGTCGTTGAACAATAACGCCCAGAATAACATAGAGATGTCGACAAAGTCGGCAGTGTCGGACTCACCAAACATATTTTGGATGTCCATGTGGGTCCCATATATTTAATAACAACTATATGGGTAACGTCCTATCCTTTCCTTGTTCAAAATTGAAGCCAGTTTTGAGAAACAAATGACAGTCTGCGAGACAATGAATAATCATACGTTCACTCGCCAGCTAACAGATGCGCATAGAACAGAGTAGAACTGATGTCGTTTATTGTGTTCGGCTCATGCGCCTTAGTATCAATTTGCCCGTAGACTGTCTTTTGTTATCAATTTTTTGGCTTCAATTCAGAGATCTTGTCACCCATATAGATGTTATTAGATATATGGTGGGTCCATGACGCGAACGCAGACTACAGAACTCAAATAAGTTCTGACTTCTGTGCCACTGTCATTTTCTATCCAATGTGATTGTGACAGTTGTGACTGTGACCTGAGAGTCCTGAGACTGTGACAATAAAGGTCAACAGCATCAGAGCATCAGCACGCATTACGCATCAGACTGTTTTCATATTTTATCTGAATGTTGATATCAATGATATCTTGATTTGATTATTTTTGTCGTTGTTTGAGATTACCCAAAAGTTCTTGAACGATGTTCTATGGACGTCATTGAAGGATATTTTATGGACGTCCGTGAAGGATATCCTATGGACGTACAAGTTGGTGGCCTCAGGACATCCATTGGACGTCCATGGGATATCCATTGGACGTTATTTGGATGTCCATTGGATATCCAAAATATCCTGAATGGATATCCTATGGACATCCATCGGATGTCCATGTGTTGTATGGGATACGACCTTTACTATACGCCACTGGTTGACGAATTTCAAAAATGAAGTTTTGTAGCCCAGAGAGGGTGCTATACAATAATGCAGAGGGAAGAAATAAATCACTTCAGAGGTTTATATACCATTTTTGCACGACTCGACGATTTTAATTGAAAGAATCTGATGATAAAATCAATTATTGTTAATATGATAATAAGAATCTGAACGCAATAATTACAAAATTAAGTTTGATTATCATGACTACCGATAAAGAAGAGTAGCCATATTGATTTTTGTGAACATCGAAAAAGTGTGGTAGCATATTTTTTCTTAATTGCTTTCCGAAGTTTTTTCAATAATTATTGCAGGAATTTGTGGAAAAACTATTGAAGAAGCTGCTGCAAACATAGAGTGCCTACTCTGTATACCTTGTATTCCCGCTTTTGTCGGTGTAAAATCGCTTGAAGGTCGTGCAAAAACAGTGTTTTTATATGTTTTGATAATGTACATTATTTATTGTCACTTGCCCCTCCCTGAGATTATTTCTGCGGACGCCCCTGCTCACCAGGACGGGATTCCTCAACTATATATTCCAAAAAAAATCTGGTTTCATGCAGAAGGAACGGGATTGAGTGCAAATAAGACTAAAATTATATCGTACACGCAGTTTTTATCACTGAACTATAACCCAATAATATATACCTACCTTTATTATTCATTATTATACTCACGTTTGGGAGTTGAGAACAACAGGTTGGATATCGTACACGCTTTATATGCCTATATTATTCATTATTATACTCACGTTTGGGAGTTGAGAACAACAGGTTGTTGGAGCGTCGTGGTGGCTGACCAGGATTTAGAGATTATTGAGCTTTGAGCTATGCCATGATTTGTACATTTTGATATTGACAGACGCACACTCCGAGATATTGATTGTTTAACTTTTCCAAATTTTGCCGCCACACAAAACAAGTGAAACAAAAATGATGGTAGGCCGCTCGAGAGCATGCGCAATAGACGTTCAGTTCTTGTCAATTGTCAGTCTTGACAGACATTACCCGCAAATGCTGGTTTTAGATTTGTTTGTTATCGAAAATATATCAATTTTTTAAGAAATAAACACGTGAAATCAATAATAATTAAATCATTTTTCGACAGCTCAATCCTTTACAAGGTTGATCAGTCGAATGTATTCGTGATAATAAACGAAAATCGCGTTACGGTTACGTCACTAGGCCATTTTGTATTTGGTGAAATCTTTGTTCCTGAACAGTGAAAATTCATAGGTTTTCGTGAACCTCGTGTTTTCTTTAAAGGGTTTTATTAAAATTCTTCAAAATTCCGGTGCCCACGAGAAATAGAGATCCCGGCCATTACGGTAGCGGTGATATGAACAACAAAAGGAAAAATCGAGGAGGCTCTGTGAGGTTGGTGAAATTCCAAAAACAAAAACAAACTCAGGAATCTGATGATTTATGTTACTGTTGTTGAAATCATGTCAACAGTAAAAACACCATGTAGCTAATTTCAGTATTTCAAGAAATTTGAGGAATGACCTTTAATTTTTGACTCCTAATTACCTATTATGTTGCATTTTATTCAAATGTTGAAACATATTAATAGTGTGATGGATCTATTAAGACATCAAAATCAGTTTTAGATAATGTACACTAGTCATAAGTCTTGCAAACTTAATTCTTATGATGAGACATTGCATTGATCCACAATTATTAATGTTAATTTATAGGACACAGAGGCCCCCCAGGTCTGTAGTACCTGAAGGTGTCTACAACAATGCACATTTTATGCATGCCTCCACTGCCCAAGTGGGAAATATAGTTCGGATAACCACTGCATCAGGTGTAGTATGGGAAGGTATGTCTGTTCATTCATGTGGTTAATTTTGTTTAAGATAATCAATAAATAGGAGATATTTCCTTTCACAGGAGTATTTAAGACATTTTCAAGTCTTTTTGATGTGGTTTTGGAAGTGGCAGCCAAGGTAGAGAATCCAGAAAGTCCCAACTCACAAATTAAGGCAGACACCTGTGTAGACAAGCTCATATTCAAAGCATGTGATATTTTGACAATGGTGGCACAAGATGTAGACCTAGAATACCCTACAAGAGACACTTTCCAGACTGATACTGCCATTTCTGCTAAACTCAATGGTAACTCAAAGTTGGAAGAAAGAGAGCTGGAACCCTGGGATGCTTCAGGCATGAATGGCACTGATTTACCCCTGGAACTTGACCAAGCCAATGGCTGGGATGCAAATGACATGTTCAGGAAGAATGAACAAGAATATGGGGTTCAGAGCACTTTTGATCACTCTCTGAGAGGATACACTGTCCCCTTGCAAGCAAATGATAGTGCAGATTATAAAGAGGCAGAGGCAAAAGCCAATCTTATTGCCAATGAAATAGAAAATCAGCCTTCACACAAGGCCAGATTGGACCTAGAAAATGGAGATGAGGAGTCTGCCTTTGCTGCTGTTGTACGTCCTCATCAAGAATCTAACACTAATGGTAAGTTTTTATCTAGGGGTTTGTATACTAATTCCCATTAATTTACAGATTAAATTCCTGCAATAGAGAAGTTTAGCTAGCATTGAGAGAGCAAGGAAATGTCTTCCCCATATGTCCTTGTCATCAGTGTTCCAACATAAAATAATGACAATTTTATGTTTGCAACACTGGAAATGAGAAGAAATGGAGAAGAAGACCTTTTTTATATTGAGGTTAATATGATCTTCTAGATTTTTTCTCATCTCCAATGTAACCAACATAAAATTCTCATTCTTTTATGATGGGACACTGATGACAAGGACAGATGGGGAAGACATTTTTTTTGTCTCAATGCCAGCTGAACTGCTCTATTCATATTGAACTCCCACAATTTTCATTGAATTCTCAAAAGTCCCCTTAAATTCTGCTCCATTGCCCATTGAATACTGAAGATTGATAAATTCCCTCAAATTCTTATGAATTTACATCTCTGCTACACCAAAATTCCCATCTGAAATTTCCCTTTGTTATCAGGCATGATTAATGAGTGTGCTATTGATTCAGTGTACAGAGAATTTGTATTACTTTGAAAATATATTGATCAAAAAGTTACCAAAGAAATAACAGTTGAAATTTCATCATGTTTGTATAAAAAGTACTTTTGATTTTGATATCTTGTTATATCTACATCCTTCTGATCAATAATCATGATAGAATGTGGATAGCAATGGTAGGTGAATTCAAATCTTGTTCATTTCTATTTTCATACTAATTGTTCATGGGTCTAGGTATTTGATTTTTCTGCTGAGACATGTAATGATCAACAAAAGTGTCTTGGATGGACTGTTGTCAACTGGTACACCTACTACTTATCATGATAACCATACCTCCAAAAATGCACCATAACCTAGTTACTGTGTGTGTTGTCAAATTTTGTACACTGCCTTTCTATGCCCTCCTGTATCTATGGTACAAGGCAAAAATTGTTATAGGGATAGCGCCCATAAGGAGTTGAGTTCTTTTCTAAAAATATGTATTACACCACTGGATATTTTCAAAAGAAAATCAGGAATCTACTAAATTACTCATTGATTTCTGAACAAGAGAGTGTTTTTTATGGGTATCTATGACTTCTCCAAGTTATTCTACAAAACCCCCCTTTCTGCATAGGGGATTCTTATGTGATGGTTTATTTGGTAACTTCCACATCTCCAAAAAATGAATTCCTCACCTTTGAGAACACTCATAGTTGACTGACTTTAAACATTACATAAGAAATTCCTCAGAGGAGTGCCTGCACATTTTTTTCTTCAATTGAAACATTTGGTCAGATTCTCTGAGAAGTGTTTAATATGGTGGCTGAACAGTACTAATGTTGTTATTAAGAACTTTTTTAACCATTCCAGATTTTCCACTATTGATATTTGGTATTCTATAAAAACATTTTTCGATTTAGTTAGTTTTTTACATTGCCACTCAGTGGTATAAATAAAGCTATGAAGTTAGTCATTCATCTACTATTTCATTGATTATTGCTATATTTCTGCCTTCTTAACGTCTATTTAACCTAACAATTGATATACTCTACAAGCACTTGGTTGGGACATTGCTACATTAGAATCAGTCCCCCTGTTAGGATCCTCGTGTAAGTAAATGTAAAGCAGCAATGTCTTCCATCTGTGGTTTTATTAATGGTATCAAAACCTCTAAAACCGTCTAAAATCAATTCTTTTGGCATGTGATAGATGTTCCGAAATTTAAGGATAGATTTGTTGAATCTCTCAAAATTCTATTGTTTGATGAATCCTTCTAGTGAAATAGAATAACCTCTTTAGCAATATTAGGGTCCCTTGATGGAAATTGACTTTAAAGTCATCTTAACAGGGTAGGGACAGATCATAGCTGCATTCTTTCATTCTTTTTTAATGATCTAGAGACTTAAGTTTTGTCTACTGGCATCCCTGACATTGCTGTCACGTCACATCCAGGGGCGCTACAGAAAATCATTGAAAATTTTAATAATAGGTATGTACAGGGTATTTACTTGTTGAGAAAGATCATATGGCGATCTAGTTTTGTTGGAGATAATGATTGTTTCGTCAAACTTGTAAAATTCAGGATGACGGATCAAATATATAGGGAAAGAAATGTCTAATTTGGATCTGATTATATTAAAGATTGGTATCTGGTGGTTTTCGTGTTCGAACTTTATGATTTTTTGGCAAAATTGGGATATTTAAGATGGCAGATCCAATATGGCGAACGAGCTTTCTAATAAATAGTTGTTTGTAAAATCAATTAAACACGCTTTCGTAGATACTTAGTCGAATTTAGGAGAAGTAGAACATGAATAGAAGTTTGAAAAATTTAAGAAATATATTGCCGAGTTGAAAAGGAGTATAAAATGAATAGTATTTTGAAAAACCAAAGAAACACGCAAATTCAGGAGGAGAAATCCTTGCTTGGAAGTCCACGAATATCGCTGAAGGGTATATGCAGCAATCTCTCACAAAATAGCAAAAAAATTCGAACCAAATTGTTTGTCACTGAAGTTAATGAAATTGATTGTAATCAGCCTAGTACGGGTTCTGTATGATAATGTTTTTTATGAAAATATCACGAAAACTGCATCGGCACCTGATCTCACTTCTAGTGGTATTCAAATAACCACTGCTCAAAACTGCACTTTTAACATTAGTTTATATAATTATTACTCTACCACAAATTGAAAATATGTATGATGCAAGAGTGAAAATAACGTGCCTATAAGTTATACCGAGAGTTATACTGTATACCTACTTCTTTGTTACTTTCATCAATAAATTATTTGAAAATGACTATTTATTTAAGGGGGACGGAAAAATCATATCTATAACGGGGGTAAAGGATATTATATTCTTCATTCTCCTGCACATTTTTCTTATTACTTTTTATCACCCTACTTTTCGTCCTAGACGAAGTTTTATACATAGTGTGATATAAGTCGTCACTCCATAAATTCTTCTCCGAGTTGCATTTCCGAAAATATATTTAGCAGACATGACATGAGTACAGTAGTTTAGATACCCACATCGAGGTTTTCACGATTTCTCAATCATAAGGCTCAGCTCAATCAGCTCATAGATAAACTACTGCTCTGCTTGAAATCAGAATTCATACAGTCAATTCAGTCAACCCTGGTATACAGTCTAAGAACAGTCTATTTTGGTGAAATATATTAAGCTTTCAGTACAATTTATAATGTTCCCTACCTCGCAAAGATTATGTTGGAGTAGTAACCTCTAAATCTAGAGGATTATTCATCTACATCTTGGTATAGTTGAATCAGGAATTCCACATGGAAATTACATATGATACGTCAATGACCTCAATATA